ACGTGGCATCTGGGTTCTTGGAGAGGTTTCTGTCCTGGATCAGTCATCAAAGTGGGACCAAAAGGCACAGGTCTTCTTCCCAAACCTTGTTGTAAACTCCTGGATAACATCACCTCAGGGGTTCTCAAAGTGGGGTTCCGGGCCGGAGCATGAGCACCGCCTGGCCCTGTAGCCCTGAAGCTCTGTGGGGAGGAGCCCTCCAGGGGGTGCGAGGCCCCGGCGGCCTGAGGACCACTGCACACCTCCTTGAGCCTAGGGCACAGGCTGCGGAGCAGGGAAGTGCTGAGGGGCCCGCGGGGTCACAGAGCAAAGCTGTCCGGCCCAGAACAGAGGCCTGGTCATCGGGAGCTGCCCACAGGCTGGGCCAAGACAGCCAGTGCCCTTAGGCCCTGGGCCCTTCAGCGGACAGAGAGGTCCCCTCCTCCAGCAACACCAAACATCTCCCAGCCCCCACGCTTTAGATCTGCTGCCCCTGAAGGCACGGCTCCCAGCCCCCTCCCACCCAGATCTCCCTCAGTCCCCCCACTGCACCCTTCCCCTGAGGTGGACCGAGTGACGGCGGGTAGAAACCTGACATGAGAGACTCACGGGCTTTGCACCCAGGCCGTGGGGAGCGGAGGGGGGCAGACACACACCCACTCCTGGGTTCCCGCATTCTATAAGCTTCAGAGCCCCCCTAGCCTGGGTTTGCTCCCTGTTTCTAATAACTGATAGCTATTATCATTATTTCCTGTGAACCCAGAGGAGGCGGCCTTCTGGGGGGCAGGGAGGCCTTTCCGGGGACCCTGAAGTTACCACACAGTTACTGGGGAGTCAGACGAGGGCCTTGGAGAGAGACACCCCCCTACACACACACACACACACACACACACACACATAACCACAGGTTCTGCAATTACTGATCATGTGAGGGGCCCGCAGCCAGTGTGGACTTGGCAGAGGCAAGTTGGGGGCTGATGCCCCGCCCAGCCTGATCCCCTTTTCCTGCCCCTCCTGCCCATGACCTGGGTGCTTATACCAGTTTTCAGGCCTCTCTTGCATGGGCTCTGCTCTGCTCCTGGGGTTTCCTGAGAAATGGGGACCAGAGGGGTCACCCCCGCCACCCGGCCACCCTCAGACGGCACCGTGAGAAGCCGAGGGCCTCCATCCCAGAGCCTGCTCAGAATAATGGCTTCCCCTGCAAGCACGTAAAGCCCTTTAATGCAGGCCGCCGGGGCAGCGTGGGATGGGGAGGCCTCCCTGCGCCCAGCTCCAGCCCCGGCCAAGAGTGAACAATCTGAGGAGTGTGCGATCCTACCCTCCATTCAAACAAGCCCCAGCTCTCCCTTCCTGGCTGTGTGGCCTTGGACAACTTACTCTCCCTCTCTGGGCTTTGGTCTCTTCCCCTCTACAAGGGGACAGCACCTCAGGGCCATCCTAGCAATAAGGGGCTCTAACAACGAGCTGGGGTCCCTTCCAGGTAACTGGCTAAAAGCCCTGCAAGGGGCGGCCCATGGGGCCTCTTACTCCTCCCCACTCCTCGCAGCCTGCCCTCCACAGGGCTGGGCAGGAAGTTGACCCGTCACTGAGGAAGGAACCCAAACAGGCCCCCTCTCCTCTACACTTACGTGAGGGGCTTCTCCAGGCGGCTCCCGGGGGACCCCACAATCTCTCCGAGGGTGCAGAAGGCCTGGCCCAGGAAATCCTGCACATCGGGGTACAGAAAAGACCAGTGTCGCCTGCTCTGCTCACAGCCATCCAGCAGCCCCCCCACCTTCCAACCCCCGCCAGAAGTGCGATGGCTCTGAAAGGACAGGGCCGCAGCAGACAAACTCTGTCACGGGGAAGCAGGGCTGGCTCAGACTTGGCATTTAAGGGCCTTGCAGAACCGCTGGGCAGTGACAGGTGAGACTCACGTGTTTGGATAAGTCTGGGCTCTTCGAGTCAACGTCGTATCTGCAGGAAACACACAGGTGGTAAAGGTCCTGCCCAGCCCAGTCCCAGAAGGACCCCTGCACCCAGAACACAGCTCTGGTCCCAGGAGAGCTTGGGCTGGGAAAGGCCAATGGGGTCTTCCCTGGCTCCTGGGGAGAAGGGGCAGCCAGACTGGAGCTAGGCTTGTCCCCAAGATCTCTCCGCACTCCCACCCCCTCCTGCCTCCAGGTCAGTGCCTCCCACTTAACTGAGAACCATGGGGGTGCTTTGTCCCCTCTCTGCTCCCCCCCTCCTCCCGCCTCTCCCGATGAGGCTGGACTCCAGCTAACAGTCACTTTATTCCAGGCCAACCCGGGCCTCCTCTAACACCACTGCCCCCTTCCCTGGAAAGGGGACCCCCTGCCCAACCATAGGCCCCGCGCCCCCCCCCTCCCATCACCGCCTCCTCCCCAGCTCCATCCTCAGCACCAGCGTCCACTCACAGGTCGAAGCGGAGGTTCTGCTTCTCCTCGAAGAAGTAGTCCACGATGAACTTGCGCACGAAGTCGGGGTTGAGAGTGTTGTCGATGACCTCGGTGCGTCCGAACTGCAAGAGGAGACGGGGCATGGGCCCGGGGCCAGGCGGGCAGCGCAGGGAGCCCTGGGTTCGGAGCCTCGGACCTGGCCCTGTGCCTGCCTTGTGAACACCCTCCGTCCCTGACTGATTCCGGTTAGGGGTGCCCTCCTTTGAGGCTCCCAAGTCAATGTCAGGGCAGAGGCAGGGACTGTGGGATGAGATTCCCCTCCTGGCATCCACGCCCTTGAATGAGGGCTGGACTGAGTGGCTCGCTTCTAATGAACAGACCAGAGTACAAGTCACTTCCAAGATTATGCTATAAAAGCTGTGACTTCCATCTTGGGCAGCCTCTCTTGAGGAAGGCAGCTGCAGTGGTGTGAGCTGCCCTGCGGAGAGGCCCACGTGATAAGGAACGAATGACAGCCAACCCAGCCCTAAGAATCAGAATCCTACCAACAACCACCGACAACTTAGAAGTGGCAGGCCCCAGCTGAACCGTGTGATGGCTGAGGCTCTGGTCAACACCCCCGATGATGGCCTGGTGAGGTAGAGGATCCCAGAAAGCGGCCCCCAGACTCATGACCCTACTGTGTCAGTGGCTATCCCCTGAGCTTGTTTGTTACGCAGCGGTAGGTAACTAATACACAGACTTGACTTTCTCGGTATCCCCTGCAGCATATATGCTAGAATTTTTCACACATTGGACACTCAATAATTGAATTCCCTTGAACTCCCCCAAATGACGCAGGGAATTCACTCCCCATTTCTGGGCACCTGGATCACTGGGAGGGTTTGTGAAAACAAGATCAGGCCTCACTCCCAGAGGTTCGGACTCAATAGGTTTAGGGTGATGCCTGAGAATCTGCATTTCCAAAAAAACACACGCAGGTGATGCTGCCACTGCCGGTGCAGGGACCACCCTTTGAGAACCCTGGAGAGTGACACTGAGGAACACAGGGCCCTGAGTTCCCAGGAGTCTTTCAGGCCTGGGAGGAGGGCAGTGTGGGCTGAGCCCAGGCCATCAATTCCATCAAAGCTGCTCTCTTACATCTGTTCAGTGCACTGGACATTTTTTTGTGAGATTTTGTTACAAAAAGATACATGGATAAAGATAAAGCATAGCAGCCCATACTTTACCACCCATGTTCACTCTCCTGGGCCGTGGCCTTGGCCAGGACTCGCCATTCTCTCATCTTGACCGCTGCCTCCTATTGGTCACCATGTGGGCCAATGGCTGCTGTGTGAAGACTCCGCTCCCGGAAGTCCTGCTCTCCAATGCCCACCTCTCCTCGCTGCCCCCACAATCTTCCTCCCGTCCCCATCGCTGCCCTTACCACACCCCCTGACATAATCTACGGAGGCTCGTTCGACCCCTGCACCGAGCTGCTCAAGCAGCAGAAGGACCAGGTTCTCCTCATCTTCGCAGCCCAGGGCCCAGCGCTGCTCAGCAGAGCCACACACTCACACTGCAGGAGATTACAGCACCAGGAACTGTGTGAGACGTGATGGAATCGTCCTGAGGTAGACTTTCCCCATGTTATTGATGAGAAAACAAAAGCACGGAAACGCTAAGTCATCTGTCCAGGGTCACACAGCGCCTGATGGTTGACTTCAAGGCGCAAACCCAGGCCTTCCGGCCACGCTCTCTAAGCCACGTTGCACTGAGGGCCCAGGGCAGCAGGAGGGCACTGCTCCGGCGGCTGGCACACAGGAGGCACTCAGGAATTGTTGAATGAAGTAAGGCTGAGTGAGGAAATGGGTGAGTGGGTTTGAGTCCTGACTTCAGCACAAGCTAATTGTGGACTTGATGATCAGAGCCTGTGAAAGCCTGTTTCCTCAGCAAAAGGTGGAGAATACTACTTGTCTTGCTCACTTCGTAAAGTTATCCAATCAGTTCGGTCACCAATTGAATGGACAGTTGTGAAGCACTTGTTACGGCCCAGGCATGTGCTGGGTGCTGAGCTGCAAACATAAATGGGACGTGAACCCTGCACTCAGGGGCTTCTCTCTCATCGGTGGGACAACTCATAGACAAAGACGGACAATACAGAGCTCTGACAGCACCCGAGAGGCCTATGGCTGGCCCTTCGCTGTGGCTGCATGGGAACCGCTGGGGAAGTGTGAGATACGGAAACGTGCAGAAAAGCAGGCGCCTGGGGCCTCCTCTCCACACACACGTCTGACTTCATAGGGGTCCGCACCTTCCATCATCTATGAGATCTCTCACAGCTCAATAAATTGCGGAAGGCGTAGAGTAATGCACTGGTTCTTGTCCGAAGACAACCAAGTAAATTTAATAAGGTGGTATGCAATTGCTTATTTGATTATTGCCCTCTGGCTCCTGACCAGCGTTGCATCTATTTATAAATTCTTTTCAGCATTCCTGACTGGCCATATGCGTGTGTTCTTTGAATTACCAGTAAGTCCTCACTTCACATCCTTGATGGGTCCTGTGCCTTTAAGAGAGATGATGTATACTGAAACTCATTTTGCCACAGGCTAATGGGTGTAAACAAGAGTTGTGTTCCTATGGCACCTCATCAAGATGATCACAAAATGACACTGAAAATGGACCTCGGTTGAGGACCTGCTGTGTTTGAACCAGTTGCAACTCTTACTGGTTCCTTCATTAATTAACAAATTAAATCATTGTCATGTGTTCATTTTATATTTGTATGGGTTAATGATTTTACTTTTTTTTTTTTTTTAATGTATCCTTTAATAGGGGCTTTTTTAAAACATCCATACTCAAGCCCCACCACAGACCGATTAAACCCAGCTCTCCGTGGATGGGGCCCGAATGACCATTTTTAAAGTTTCCTCGGTGATTTAATTTGCAGCTGGAGCTGAGCACCAGCCGGAGGACGGAAGAAAACGAACACTTACTCAGCCTCCACTGAAGCTCTGCAGACAAGCAGGTCATTATCCTGTTTGATTCCCACAACGACCCTGTGAGTTCTGTATTGCCCATTGTACAAGTGAGGAGACGGAGACTCAGGGAGGCGTAGTGACTTGCCCAAGTCCACACAGGTAGGCAGAGCTGGGATCGAAACCCAGGTATGTCTAACTCCAAAGGCCATTATACAGGGGTGGGCAAAAGTAGGTTTACAGTTGCAAGTCCCTGAAACAGTTTATTGTTGTATGACTATAAACTAGAGGGTCTGGTGTATGAAAATGCATGCACTGGAGAGGGCATCCCTCAGCCTGGCCTGCCCTCCACCCCACAGTCCGGGATCCCTCAGGGGTGGGAAGCAACTTAACGGTCAGTGGAAGGTGACGCCCCATCACACTTCTGCTGCTGCCACTGCTGGCAGTGCAAGCCTCAGCTAGCCCTGGTTACCTGAGCCTTGGACGGCCCTGGGCGGCTGGGGAGCTGAAGGGACTGGGAGACTCCAGTCCCCTCAGGTGTGAAGAGGGGCCGGGCCCACCTGGGGGTGCATGGGCCATCCCAGTGGGGCTGAGGGACTGGGCACCGCCATCTTGTGGCTGTGGGTGCCGCATTCTTTGAGGATATGACAGTCAATTAGCATATTCCCTCCTTATTGGCTGTGGGGCTGCCATCTTTGAGGGCAGGGCAGTCAATTAGCATATTCCCTCCTTACTGGCTGTGGGTACCACCATCTTTTCGATGGTGTGAGGGCCAATTTGCATATTCCCTTTTTATTAGATAGGATTATTATATCATTTTCTATAGGAACAACTGTAAATCTACTTGTGCCCACCCCTGTATTTTTTTTATTTCATCTAACTGGCAGGAGCCTTCAAGCATTATAAAAAACAAAAATAAAGATGAGTTTTACTTCACAGGCATTGACAGAAGCCCCACTATGTGCAAGGCAATCGGGAGGACTTCGAGTCCTCCTGGGCTCCTGCCCCATCGCCTAAACTCAGTCTAACTCTTATAATGTCTAACCCTTGTTCCACAAGAGTTCCTGCATTCGCCTCTCCTGCTCTTTCTAATTCTTAATACCTCCTGTCTTCAGACAAAATGAAAATTTTCCTAATGGCAGAATCTCCAGTAAACACCCGGGTTCAAGAGAATCCTGTGAAACTGGGCCATTCCTCTCCCTCAGGGCATCGCCGCCTCCCTCAGACACCTGTAAACCCTCCCCCCCACTTCCCACCCCCAAGCAGGACTCTGGATAAGCCCCAGTGCAGACGGCGCCCGCATTCTTTGTGCACCCCTGTCTCCGCCAGCAAGGAAAACACCCATTAGGGGAGATGACAGCTGCTTTTAAAATGGCACTTGAAGCTGCAGTCGAGGGGAATTCCCTGGAGATGGACCTGCTGCAGGAGAAGAGAATGGAGTTCCCCTGGAAACAGGACGGGGGGCGGGGGGGACACGCCAAGGGCCCCGCTATCTCCGGGGGCGGAGAGGGGGCGGTGAGCCAGGCCTGGCAGTGATGGATTGCCGGGACGCGGGGGTAATTAACATGGGCCCTGGCACAGAGGCCTGTGCGAGCTGCAGCCCAGGGACTTCCTGAAGATGGTTTACAGCTTTCATTACTTGAGCTCATAACAAAGGAAATACATGCGAAAACTTGGGTTTTTTAAAATCCGGAAGCCAACAGGCCGCTGTCAGGCCCAATTTACACCCCTATTAGTGCTGGTAGGAACACAACTGAACTGATGTTCAAAGAGCTCAGTATGGCTGCAGGTCACCCTACAGAGGAGGCTTGGGCTTTCCAGCAGGAAGGGCCTTGGAGGTAGGAGGTGTTGGCAGGGAGGAGCGCGCAAAGGCATGTGGTCCAAGCACTTAGGAAGGAGGGGAGGGTGGGTTCACCCCTCACCCCCCGCACAGAGCCGAGCTCGCCCCGAACACGTCCAGCTCCTCCCGGTCCTTTCTGAGCCCCCGTCCACACTCCGGGTCTGAGGGCATGAGGGGCCCCACACTGCTCACAGTCTGGGGGCACAGGCCGCCAAGCCCCGTAGTACAGGAACGCTCAGATCCACAAAGCCGGAGACGCCCCAAATCTTGGTTTTACTAAGTGAGTCTGATGCAGAGGGTCCTAGGGTCTATGTGTGTGATT